CCAAGCTGATGAAGGTAAATTACACTTCATTAATAATGGTCTAACGATTAATTGTAATCGTTTAATCAAAGATTCAGCAAGACCATTTTGTGTATGGACATGAGCAACAGGGTGCTCCACATCAATCCCAATCGACATACAATAGTCGTTAAATGATTGGGATGTAAATTCTCCTGCATTATCAAGTCGGATTCTTTTTATAGAATGATCCGGAAAATGAGCTCTTAATCGTATGATTTGAGCAAGGAGTTTAGCAAATGCTAGAGTTCTAGTTGATAACACACTGACATGTGACCAACATGTTGAAGCATTAATCAACACCATAAAATATCGAAATGGTCCACATGGTGGGGCTATCGGCCCACAAATATCTCCTTGAATCCTTTCTAAAAATGCAGGTGATTCAGTTGCAATTTTGTTCATAGAGGGTCTGATGATCATTTTGCCAAGAGAACATGCCTTACAAGGAAAATCCCTTGATATTGGAACCCTTATATTCTTTAATGGATGTCCAAGTGAGGTCTTAATGATTTTATGCATCATTACCTGGCCTGGGTGACCTAAACGGTCATGCCACAACATGAATGTTTTCTGATCATCTAACTTTGTGTTAGAAACCAAATTTATTTCAAATGGACTAATATATGTGAAATATAGTCCTGAGGAATATGCTGGCATTTTTTCACAAATATATTTAGTGCCAGATTTAGTTGTTGTAAGGCAAATATATTCCTTTTGGTTTTCATTCATAGTTTCTATGTGATAACCATTTTGACGCATATCTTTAAAGCTCAATAAATTTCTCCGCGGTTTGCTGGAGTATAAAGCGTCATTTATAATAATTTTTGACCCGTTAGGGAGCATCACATATGCTTTCCCAGAGCCTTCAATGAGCTTCGCAACACCTGATATGGTATTGACTTTAGCCTCAACTAAAGTCATTTGAGAGAAATATATTTTATTTCTCAAAATGGTGTGCGTTGTGGCGCTGTCTATCAGACATAGTTCTTTATCATTTGAGTGATCCATATCTCCAATATATATAAACATAAGTTTGATCACAAAATATGCATATTATTTAACATAAGAGTATATACATTACACATATTTATTTAAAAACAACATAACAAGGGGAAGAAAGAAAAAGTACATAAAACTAGTATTGTACAACATCAGGAGTCTACTATTTTATTTAGTAACATTTTGGTTTATGGCAAAAGCATCGTTCATAATGGCATCATCCGCAAAAGAGTCAGACACGTCAAATTTTGGCAGAGGTGGAGTTGTGTCATTGACATAATTAGCTTCCATATTTTTGCATTTGTTCAAATTCATGGAAGCTTGAAATAATTCCACCAGATGTTTCACAGTACGACATTTGTTAGCCCAATGCCCCGTCATGCCACATTTATAACAAGTCGTCTTTACCGAGGTTTTTGGAGGGCGATTTATTTGATGAGCATTTTGTTTTCCCTTGCCCTTATAATTTGGTCTATTGACCTGTTTATATTTTTGATGTGACTTGTTTTTATGACCATTAAAATGCCCACGTTTAAAGTGTCTTCTACTGCCACTGTATGTTGCATTTGATTCAGTGGCTAAATTATGGCCAGATGGATCATAAACCGAAGGACTGGAACCAGTGGGTCTCAGATTATGATTTTTCATCAAAAGGTAATTATTTTGCTCAGCTACCAATTATGATATTAAGTCGGAGTATTTTTTAAAACCCTTTTCTCTATATTGCCGCTGTAGCAGCATATTAGAAATATGCATTGTAGAAAAGGTTTTCTCCAACATATCAGCATCAATGACTTTTTGTCCGCATAACTTTAGTTTAGATGTTATTTGGAACATGGCAGAATTATAGTCACTGATTGATTTAAAATCCTGGAATCTTAAATTGATCCAGTCATACTGAGCTTTTGACAAAAGTACCTTTTGTTGGTGGCCATATCTCTCCTGTAAATTGTCCCATAATTCTTTTGGGTCATCAACCAAAAGATATTCAGATTTGAAACTTTCATGGAGATGATGACGGAGAAAAATTATAGCTTTCGCTTTGTCCTGGGAGGATGATTGATTATTAGCCTCAATAGTGTCTTCCAGACCGTTAGCCTTCAAATGTGCTAAAGCATCCACTTTCCAGTCCAAATATTTTTGGCCGGAAAGATCAAGAACATCAAATTCTCTTTTGCTAATGTTTGCCATGACTTACTAAAAAAGTTGTATAATTAAACTTAATTAGTATACATATTTTTCTACGAACTTTAATTTATTAAGTTATGGAGTAAGGAGCATTATTTTGCCTCTTGTGATCTCTTATTTGTTTGTTAGTATACGTGTCATAAAAATGAAAATCTACAAAAGTAAAATGTATGCATGCATGTCAATTGTCTGACCTTTATGTGTCACGTATACCAATCCGTAATATTCTAGGTGATATTTGAATAGTCTAGAATTTCAAAAATAACGATCTTATTTGTCATTTTAATATTACTTACATCTAATTTGAGGCTAAAATGATTATTAAGTACTAACTATTTTGTAAATTTGTGAAGACTATGTACTAGTATCTATCATTATAGACTTCATTCCTAACTGACATCCCACTTTGTTTGTTTATTTGTATAGATATAGTAGTGTTTATTTTGCTGACCCTTGAAGAAAGAAAACAAAAATAAGTTGCAGTATCATGTTTTGATAGCAGACTGAGCACCATTTTCTAAAATTGCTCCGTGACTAACAAGTTGTATAAGGAGGACCCATGCATGTCAATTTATTATATTTATACATGCATATAATACTCCTGCATTTATATATTCTATATTCTTTACTTATTCTTCCTTATGGAGCCTCATTACAGTAGCCAATTCTTTCCGTCTGATTTCTTTTCAAGTCAGATTACTATTTTGTAATAGTAGTATGTAGCAGTATTCTTTCTAAAGTCGTAATTTGCATCCGTTTTTGTTCTACGAAGACCTTATCTATTCATCAAGATTGAAGAATACGTAGAGGTAAACCTTTTTTTATTGAACAAACTTAAATTTTATTTGGAAAATCAATTACGTAGTAGTGTATTTTCGTAGTATTACATTCTGGAAAATATTTTAATGACTTGAGAACATTAAAGGAGATAATTAATAATGATGCTTATACCTGCAAGAAGATGATTTTTTGGAGAGTTTGAGCTGATTCGTGCTGATAACGTGTTATAACATGAAAAAGATCAAGACTAAACTTAAGATATAGATATATTAATAAAAGCTCTAAATTACTTCTTAATATAACTGATTGCTCTGAATTTCTGAGTTTTTTGAGTGAGTTTACAATGAATGAAACAAGTCCTATTTATACTAGCCAAGCTTAGGGATGAATCATCTAGGAATGATTTACATAATTTGCTGGCAGTATTGAATCTAGCCATGTGTGTGATTACAAGGATTTGTGTTTACTTAGTGTCCTGATTACAAGGATGAATATTCACACTTGTCAATTTGGTGATTTTACAACAAAAACGATGTATTGACTAGGCCTTTTGGCCCGGATATTACTAAAAATAAAACAAAAGTGATCACTTTTTAAAAATTCCTGAAATGTGACCGACATCACAATTAACCATGCAATGCAAAGTGACTTCGATCTCAGTGACTCCGGTCAAAGTGACTTCGGCCAAAATGGCTCCGGTCAAAGTGACTGCCCACCGACCAAAGTGATTGTCCATCGGTCACAGTGACTGCCCCAACGATCACAGTGACTGCCCCAACGGTCACAATGACTGCCCCAACGGTCACAATGATTGCCCGGCCACAGTGGCTTCCTCTGGAGTTGTCACCGACCACAGTGACAACTCTACGGTGACATCTTCGTAGTGACAACTCACTGCCACTGCCGCCCTCCGGTCAGTTACCACACCACCACGCCACTGCCGCATTCCACCATCACTCCACCACTACCTCCCGCCGCCGCCACGTGACCCCAGCGCCGCCCAGTGACTGGCAGCAACCCAAATGACAACCTCCGTGCCTCGCCCGATCTCCAGCAGCCCCAACAACCACCACGGCGGTGGTCGCCGCCTCCCCTTGCCCACCAGCCCAGTCCACAAACCCCCAGCCCCCTCCAGAACGCTCCCTCATCCCCCACCCCTCTCCAGCACCCTACCCAACCCATCCCCTTCGCCAGCGGTCCATACCCCCTTCCAAGCCGTCTGTTCCGATATGAGGACCCGGAGGGATAAATGGCCGCAGATCCAAAAGAGAAGGTGGCCCCAATCGAAAGATACGAGCAGATTTGATGCAAAGAGAGGGCTGGAGAACATATGTCGATGTGCACCGATGCAGAACAAATCCGAAATACAGAGATGACCGATGGCCGTCGTCGTCAGATCCGAGATGCACCTATGCAGAACAGATCGGAGATGCAAAGATGATCGGTGGCTCACGGTGGCGACACAGAGGCAGACAATGGAGGCAATGTGGTGGCGGCTGGTGGAAACGAGAAGCGGAGCGGCCGCCTAGGGGCTGGTGTCCAGATGTGTGTGCGCTACGAAGAAAGAGGCAGAGAGACTATGCTTGGGCAGTTGCGCGTGCGAAAGAAGATGATCGGTTATATTTTTGGAAAATGTCAAACCGGTCATATAATTGGAATCCATAACTCCATCAACAATATGCGGGTCATTTTTTCTATTGATTATTAGTGTCAACATAATAAATACAAAAAGTTTCAAAGGGCTCATCTCCAAAAAAAGGATGACACCACATCCCTGAGGACCCCTCAGAACCAACTGGATAGTTATCTCGAAGAATGTAAATTAAGCTTTGATCTCACACTAATGGAAAGAGAGTGAGGCTTCGTACCAAGTCTTAGCTTGGAGTTGAACCCGGGATCAAGGGGGGCTCATCTCCAAACTTCATTGTGGGTATCTTATATTTCATAACCAGCCCAACCCAACCCTACTTCGAAAAAGATAATCAGTTGCACCAGCCCGCGTGCACCCTAGCTTCATCGTAAAGCATCTTCATTATTCAATAACCACGTTTTTCATAGCATGCAGTACATTGTTTTCCTAAAACATTGTAAAAAAGATAAACGAAGTGCCCCTATACACAGGGACGAAGCCAGAGCAATGAGCCAAACTGAACCGGTACAAAGAATATTTTTGGGAAAAAATTACACGAAATTTTTTACATTAAAAATAAAAGCATTTTTTTAATTTGGGGTAAGTCGGGGCCTAGGTAAGCCCCCCTAGCTCGGCCCCTGCATATATAGGTATTTGAGACCCTTTACATAGCTATCTTTGGTAGATTGCATCAACTCTTTATGTGTCATTTGGTCCACCTAATAAGAAAACCATGAAATTACAATTTGTGGTAGAAGTAGCAGAAGAGTAAAAAACTAATACATGCTAACATATGAAGTCAGTGGTGTTTTCCTGCTACAAAGGCAATATTGCATCTGCAAGTCTACAAGCTGTGGGAAAGAGCAAAGAGGGTGTGAGAAATCAGAAAGTCCAGAAGTAAAAAGGGACAGGTACATTTGAGGGGCTTACGTGAACATTGGGGGCTGGCCGCGAGAAAGCTGAGGCCTCTTGATGGGTGAGAGGATGAGGTTCCTGATCGTCATTGAGGGGTTTCCAGCACCAGCTCCCGTTCCACCGCCGAAAGCAGAACGCGTACTGCCCATTCTCTTGTTCCCAGCAGCATCCATTTGAAGTCCGGATTGCTTTATAGGTGAAGCGTTAGACATATCAAAATGTCCAGAGTTAGAATTGGTCTGTCTTGTGGGATGCCACATATCTTCTCTTGGCCCTGGAGTTTTAGGAGTGGCAACCAACCAATCTGCAATAAGTCATCAACTAATATTTTTGCATAAATGCTACAACTCCTACTCAAATTTCAGAAAAAATATAGAGGCAACCGGTTCTTTAAAACACTCAGGCTGTTATAATAATTAACTTATTACACAGATCACATCAACTAATCTTTTTACATAAATGCTACAACTGTTACATAAATTTGAAAAAACAAACAAATATGCAACCTGTTCATTAAATGATTCACCCTAATCATAATAGTTAACTAAACACTCCAACTGCTGCTCAAATTTGAAAACAATATAAGCAACCTGTTCTTTAGATGATTCAGGATAATCATAAAAACTAACTACTTACACAGATTATATTCTCCTGGCCAACTAGAATAATCTTCATGAATGAGTTATATAATTAAAAACAGGGTTACCTTTTCTAAGAGGGTCTCTATTATCCATCATACTAGCAGTGTTTGAAAACAAATCAGGCTCGGTTCTGGAGAAGAAATTGTTGGTTGGTTGAATAGCTGAACGTTTTACTGATTCGTATTCGTTTCTCAACTGATCATACATTTCATCAAGTTTCCTCTTTTGCCTGGTAGGTATGAAAAGAATATGAAATCTGGCGCCTTATCAAGTACCATATATTACATAATATTTTCAAGGTATAAACAGTCGTTAGACATATTTGAAATATCGAGAATAGTGACAAGGTTTTTTCATAAACTAACCTGGATTTCTCAGCAAACTTGTCTTGTAGCTCCTGCTTGTCCTTGGAAAGGTTCTGAATCTCCTGCTCCATCATTTGGCATCTCTTAGCCATCTTCTGGTATGCAGTATGCACCTGCTCCAGTTTTTCGGTGAATTTTTCTTGCATAACCTCACATTTCTGTCGGCATTGAGCAACTATACGATTCATCTTATACTGCATCTCCAATTCTTTTTGCCCAATGTAGAACATCACACTTCTGTAAGCACTCTTCATCACTAACAATTGTGATAAAGGAGAACAGCAACTTAATTCGACGATTCATCATCATCATTACTTCAGTGCCGCAAAGGCTCCCACCGACGATTATTTCAAAAAAAATATTATCGACTAAGTTATAGAAATAGACACTAGCTAAATAAAATGTGTGCATTCATACTGTTTTGTTGTTGGGTACAGTGGAAAGATGTAGTTTTCATAGTTTACATGAAGAATTGATAATAAGAATAGGAGAGTTTTCAGTCACAACTCGCAAATACTAATAGATTACTCTTTTTTTTAGAGAAAAACGGGACAAAGTTAGGGAGACGGAGGAAGTATTTGACTAAGGAGTAGTAGCTTCATACAGGTGGGAAGGAAGGAATATTGTGTGCGTTACCATTGAGCCACCTAAGAATCCTAAGGATACTAATAGATTACTCTATATCATAAGGATACATATTTGTGGTGATATCCCGACCATGGCCATCTGCAAAAGCACAGAAGAGAACCATCAGGATTCTGATGGTAAAGAAAATGGAAAACAAAGTATATAAAGATCTAGAATCACAGAGACATTGACATTATAGATTTCCTTTAACATTTGCAAAAAAAAAGATACCGAGTGATTAAAGGAAGTCTTTAACAAAGCTTGCTTACATTTATCCATTCATCACCTGGATTGATGTCCACAGGTTTCATGAGGCTGTGAATCAAAGTCTTCACTTAGCGTCGAGGATGAAAATTGATAAAGAATTTAGACAACACTGGTCATGTACAATAATAACTAGAAAAGATTACTGGAGTTTATAATTTCAGCCTTAAAAGTCTTCCACAGAAAGTGACAATATATCTTTTTGCATGAGCAATATACCAGAAGGAGAACAGAAATAATCAAATTTTGAAATCTTAGAGAGCTGTGGAAATAAGAAGAATGTGTTTGTACCATAAAATCCCGAATAATTTATTCTCAACAATGAGTGACATGTTTTCCATGCTTCATAGGTGACACCATAGTTCTTTACAGTTAAAGAATAAAATTGGAATTATAAATTATTAGCTATCATTAGCTGTCACAGACCTTTTGGAGAGGACTTGGTCGCAGATTGGGCAGGCAGCATCATTAGCGAGAATCTTATGTGCATCTTCTGTACCTATTGACATTATTAAGGAAACTCCACAACTAGAAACCATGAACTGACGAATGTTATTCATTGTATACATAGGTGGATGTGTTTCTCCTACACAAATGAAGATTTGGATACAGAGGAGGTGGCCACATGTGGTGGTGATACCCTGGCCTTCCAGATCTCTCCAACACGCGTTGCATCTCATCTCAGCCTTCAGAAATTATGAAAAGATTTTCATAGGACTTAGCGACATCCTGGGTAGTAAGAAAAAAAATCAGCAAGTTCTAAAGAGAGCATAACTGCACAAGTACACACCCCACTTGCAGTTTGACAACCAAAAACATGGCCTTCTGACTTGATAGTTTTCAAACAGATTCACACCCAAATTGGGTGCCACACATGTTTTTACTACAAAATAACCTGATACTTTATTGAACTGAAATGAATCTTCAAGTTATCATTGTTTACTGATGACAAGCGCATTGATTATATAATCTACTAACACAGAGAAAATGTGAAAATAGCATATATATCCCCAACATCAATTACCTATAAACAAAAATTTAGCACCATCAACTATCCCTAAAGAGTTAACACTATTAGTATGCTATCAATAGATCATTTTCAGAATAAATCCACCTTATTTCTTCCTAATCTACAATCTACTACTATTGATATAACCCTTTATTATATCTATGTTCAGTCACTACAATTGCAGAGTTGAAGAAACATAATCAAGTCAGAAATGGATTACCTCTGGTTGCATCTTAAGACTTCTGGAAGCATGGTAATTGGAAAACAAAAAACTACTTTTCACTAGAAAATCAAAGAAAGCTTCAAACAGAGCTCAAACTGTATCTTGCATCCACTAGAGATCCAAGATGTCAATTTTCTTACAAAAACTACTACTATGAAAGTATCATCTATGAGGTCCTAGGAATAATGAAAACCCAACAATAAAAAAATAATGAGCGGCCATTGTAGATTAAATACATAAGGTATGTATATAGCTGACTCTAATTAACTTCCCTGATAATCAGGTCGAGACCAAATTGAGAGCCACCTGATATAGTCGAAGAAGAAAGTTCCAACCAAACACTAGGATCCTTCAAACGCAGTAGAACCTAGCGTGTCACAAAACTTTATCCAAAACCTGAAAATTCAAACGGCATAGTACGGAGACTGCAAACACTCCTAAAAAATTCGAGAAATTTATGTAGGAACATCACAGAATATCAGGATATCCTATGATAACAATCAAGACTTTGGATTGAAGAGAATTTAAAAATCGAGACAAAACGAACCTACAGCCCACGATTCGAACTCGGGCCGCCCAGCGGGAGATATATGTGATACTTTGTTTCTCAGAATGATTGAGAAGAAGAATAGTCCTCAATTATCATAGAAAATGCAAATCTAATGTATCGATCCTGGAGGATATTCTGAATTTCTGATAATTAGCTCTCGTCTTGTGTTCTCTTGTTTCTGAAACTTTGAGCTGCATCCGGATGGCGCCAAATACTATACAGACTTGCAGAGTATGAAGGTACGACCCTACAGAGGAGTGTTTGGAACTAATTTTCTTTTTTAAAGCAGAAGCAGAATCTTTTCAGAATTTTTAAAGGTACTCCCAGCTTCTGAAAACTTATTCTGAGAGTAAATTAGAGCACCAGAAGTGTTTCTGGAATTTCACCCAAACACTCCAACTTTTGTTTATGCTTCCTGAAGGAGCAAAATCAATTTTGAGAATCAAATCCAATCACCCCCTAAGTATCGGAATAACTTGAGAAATTGTCCCTATAGAAGTAATACTATGTACTCCCTATACAAGTTTCCGAGTTGACTTTCACACATTTTTAGGAAATAAATTTATTGAGGGGTAAATTTTCTTGTGTTTGACACTGTTTCGACACTGTTTTGCACTGTTTGACATTGTTTTGCACTATTTTGATATAGATAATATGCCAAATAAGGAAGTAAGAGTATTAAATAACATTAATTGTTGGGAAAACTATCAAATTGGCCCCCATAGTATATCAAAAAAGTCAATTAGACCCTCAAACTAAAAAAACACCCAATTAAGCTCACCAACTATAGAAAAATAGTCAAATTTGTAATCTAGCAGGTGAGAGTCCGGTTAGCCGGTTACTCGAGTGACGTGTCCATCACTTGTTTAATTTTCCATTTCCTTTTTTTCTTTTTCCTCTCCTGCTACATTCTTCGATCTTCCGCCATTTCTCTTCCCCTGCTTATTTCTCCTTCTTCTTTTTTCCTTCTTTCCTCTAAGTCTACAAATTCGTCGGCCAAGCATGAGCATAGCGTGCCGAAGATGTAGAATCCGTACGCCGGATTTCGAACCCATCGTCTCGTTGGTCAACCGCCATCCTTGGTCAAGCATGGGTTGCAGCGTTCACCGGAGTTTAGAGATACTCGGCAAAAACGTTATCCTCCCGGAGGTGTTCAAGATTTACACCGGAATTCAAAGCTTTTCAGCCAAGCTACCTCGCTGGACTGCCGGAGGTGTACAAGACTTACGCCGGATTCGTTAGCTTGTCGGCCAAGCCTCCATACTCACCGTTGTCAGTAGCCTTCCCGAGCTAATTCTTGTCATCATCAACGAATACCGGCACCACCGCACCAATGACGTGGAAGCAGGAAGGTGCAGATCTCTGCAGCCCAAGTTGCCCTCTTTGCCGGAGTTCCTCACTTCAAGCACAATGTGATAGATTGAGGGGGGGGGGGGGGGTTCAGGTGGGAAGAAGAGTGAAGAGAAAGGAGAAAAGGAAAGAAACAAAAGCCAAGAAGCAAGGGTTTGTATGTACAGGAGGGTGGGAGAAAGAATGAAGAAGAAGATACGGAGGTGAGGCGGAAGAATAAACGGGCAAAGAAAAAGAAAAAAGAAAGAAAAGAAAAACAAAAAGAAAACTTAAAATAGAATAGTAGAATACGCAGATTGCCACATCAGCATAACGACCGGATAACCGGATCAGTACCTACTAGATTTCAAATTTGATTGTTTTTCTATAGTTTGTGGGCTTAATTGGTTGTTTTTATAGTTCGAGGGCTTAATTGACTTTTTCGATATAGTACGAGGGCTTATTTGACAGTTTTCCCTTAATTGTTACATTTTCACTCCTACCTCTCTAATTCCCTTTATAACCTGGTCAATCTGTTCACGATGGATCGGTTCATTGGTGGTGATGACGGGTGATTGACTGTGGTGCTTGATGACGCCATTAGACTAATGGTGTGTGCGCTCTTAAAATTTTCAGCAAGTTCCGACGGGTTTTGACGACAACTCGGTCGGTGGCGCCAACAATGGACGACAGCAGGTGGGGGCCGAGGTACTCCAATATTCCGCCGGGATATATTTGTCCATACACACATAATTACTTCTATTTGAGTAATTTAAAAGTAGGTCATTCTATTGTATTTAGACCATGTTGTACTCCTATTTAAAGAATTGACTCATCTAATTTACTCAAACAAAGAAGCTCTAAAACCACCTCGACCAACTGAAAAATATATAATACCTAGTAAAATCATTAGCATTAGGCTTACTAAACTACTTTAGGGAGAATTTGACTAGTAAACATTAGGCCTACTAAACTACTTTATGGAGAATTTGACTTTGCATTCCGTTTTATGGGTGATATTTGACTTTGAACACTATTTTTGTAGTCATTAATGTATGCACCTCAATTCACTATCAAATGATTTGACTTTGCACTCAATTTTTAAACAATTTCAGATCTATTAGGATGTTGACATTAATGACTTTAAAAATGGAGTGCAAAGTATAATATCACCCAAAACATAGAGTGCAAAGTCAAATTCTCCCATTAATTTATCTGGTAGTCGGCCTACCCGATCCAATGACCACTTTCCAGTGACCAACCACGCTTTGACTATCGTGGTCGGTCGGTGACCATCGTTCATAGTGATCACTGCATGTAAGTTACAATTACAATTGCCGAGTGACCTAATTTACAAAAATCTGTTCAGTGACACTACCGCCGGCCATATTGGTTGTAGTTGGCGCCACGCCTGATGGGTGACACCGCCCACTACCCCCACCCCATCCTTAGCCCCATGGCCCAACCTTGTCTTGCCCCCAACTCATTGTCCCCACCCCTACCTTGCTCCCAATCCATGCCTCCCCAACTCCGCAATTTGAAAACTCTAGCAGTCGAGCCCTTGTCACGATCTTGAAACGCAGACAACGATGATTTCTTTGGATATCGCCACTCGACCTAGCCACAGTTCCATCATCAGGCATAAAAGAGTAAAGAAGTAGAAGAATGACAATGAGCGACGACGTGGGTTGAAGGCGGTCGGCGGTGAGGGACGATAGCGAAAGAGTGACGTGGAAGTGGAACCAATGCGACGACCGAATGGGTGAGGTGCAACGATGGCTAGCGCGTTGCGTGATGAGGTGCGACGATGGAGGTGCTGAAGCCAGACGGCCGGATGGAGAAATACGACGATCTAGAAGTTTTGAGGTTTTCAAGATGGAGGACACTTTGGCCATTTCAGATTTATTTGGTCTCTTTTTGTGCAAAACTAAAATAAATCCTATTTTCATCTAATAGAAAGCTAGTAATGTTATTATTTTTGTATTATTCTAATATATTACTTGATGATTTACATTGTAGAGGTTGAGGAGCATTTAGAGGTCTTTGAAACTGATTTTTTTCCTGTTTCTTTTTTTTAAGCAAGCGCAGAATAAAGATCAATTTTTCAGAATTTGATCTTCCTCAACTTTTAGAAAACTGATTCTAAGAGTAATTTGTATCACCGAGAAGTACTTTTGGACTTTCACTCAAACAATCTAATATCTGCTTATACTCTTTGAAGGAGGAAAAAACAATTTTAAAAAGCGAATCCAAACATCCAAACACCCCTTAACCCGACAATGATAATGGGTAGTGAACCCGCACGGGCAATGAACCCACATGACTAGCTCAACCATGGCTGAGTGAGATCGTAGGATTAAGGTCTCGATTCAATTCTCGTCAAATATGATGACTCTCATTCAATTCAATCATCTTACTCACAAACCATTTAAAATGATACCCTGATTTACTCCTTCCCCATTCCGTCAAATCGGAGTCTTGGGGGCGTGTGGGGGTGAAGGATTCCACTTTTTGGATTGATAATGGGCAGTGATCCGTGCGGACCAGCGCGTGTGTCGTTCACACCGCCGACGACAGCGCAGCTGGGTCACATCCCCACAACACATTCACTACGACACGTGGCCAACTGGCTCGCCGAAGATAAATTCATCTCAACTCCCAGTACGACTGCCAAATATATTATCTCCTCTTGAATTTTCCTTCTCCTTTCCTTCTTCCTCACCCAGTCACCCTCGAAACTGCCAACGCACTATAACACTTCTGGGAGAAGATATTTTCCCAGCTAGCTAGGGTTTGTTCTGAACAGAAGGCTGTAGAAGCAAGCGGAGGATGAAGCTCCAGTGCAACGTGTGTCAAGTGGCGGAGGCGAACGTACTGTGCTGCGCCGACGAGGCGGCGCTGTGCTGGTCCTGCGATGAGAAGGTTCACGCCGCCAATAAGCTCGCCTCTAAGCACCAGAGAGTCCCGCTCTCTGATTCGTCTTCTTCCATGCCCAAGTGCGACATCTGCCAGGTATGTTTGCAGTCATCTCTCACTTTTGGAGTATGGGGAAATTAGATTTGATTTTTTCGGAACCGGAACACTTTTATGTGGATATAAAGCTGTTTCCTTTACTGCATCTGCGCTACTCATTCTGGAATTGCATTCATTTTGGCTAAGGTAGGCCTGGTAGCATCAATTTTCTTTTGTGGAAACACGTGTAAGTTTTATTTGCTTACTGTAATACGTTCTATAATTGGTTTAGTTGGAAACAAATGAGGGATATGCTTCATTGATTATCTGCGTTAGTATGTTTTTGGTGCCATCCTTTCTATCAGCCTGCTAAACAAGAATAAGTGCTTCTGGGTACAGAAGAATTAAACTATCTATTCATAGACCTAGCTAATGAGTGATGGAGAAGGGGATTTCACGCTCAACTCTGCCTACATTTCATCAAGATATCTCTAGACTACACTGGGTCGAGAAGAAATCATCAGTACGTATTCTATTAAATGCTGCCAATACATGGTAGGACAGAACCATCAATTTTCCCTTTTGCACATTTCATCTCAACAAAATAAGGAAACACACCTACTACATTGACTTAGGGGAGGAAGAAATTAATACTGCCTACATCAGAGCCACAGAGGTAGTGCCCGTTTTCATTTTGGCTTAGTTCTCCAAAATTGTAAAAATGAGTGGACCAAAATAAAGACGTGTTTTCGTAACGTATACTCACTTGAATAAATGATTGGGGTGGGGTAGTCAGGTAGAGAGAAGAAAGGAAAATCATGTTTTTGAATCACTTCGAGTTGGCGATGTTTGTGATTTTGGTTAGTTATCTCTAGCTCTCCAACTCTATATCATTACTCCTGGCAAAATAAGTTCTCCAAAATAACTTTTTTAGCATTTGCGTTGAAGTACTTGGAACTTGGAGAACTATACTCGGGAAGGGAGTACACCTCAAAGGGGTGAGGTCTGTGAGGAAGGACTTTGTCAGGAGGTTGAGCTCCATCGTACTAGACCACTTCTCTGTTTATCCAAAAGAAAATTTATCCATCCCTCTCACCCAAAAGAAAAAAAAACAGATCTTGCTGTTGTCTCACTATTGACAAACGCACCATGTCAACATGCCCCCCTCATCACATAGAGGTTGTCTCCCCATTATTGAGATCAGTTATGGATATCAGCCTGCTCTCTCATGACCTTCATGGCCTCAATTTACACATCGATAAACTAATGGATGTGTCAACTTAGAACTAAAGTACAAAATACCTTGAGATTGTGTAGACGGTTTGAAAATGTTCTTAATAGTTTGAAACTTTGAACAATTAAAGGCAGTGTTTTAAATGTGTAATGTTATTTTTAAATATTGTTTCAAAATTTTAAATTGTATTGCATATGTATGTTATGAGATGCTACTTAAAGGGTTTTGGAAACTAGTTATTTGTATTTTTTTTTACAAAATTACGGAAAAAGAAAATATAACTGAGAAAAATTAAATTGTGAGAGGACATTTCATTAAAAAGTTGAAAAATCCAAAATCTCCGCCTCCAAATAAATTCTACTCTGTATAATTTGTAGCTTCTTGATTTCAGAGTTTTGTGTTGTATTAAAACACTCCACTTGCTTCGTGGGCATTTTACATAAAATAGCATTTTAAAATCAATATGCTCCCAAAATAATAAATAAAAACCTGCCAAACCGGAAATTTGAACCAGAGGGCATGCATTTAAAAAAAGTTTTCTGAAAGGATCTCAAATCCCAAATAGTTTTCTCCACAATTCTAAATGTCTAAGCTTGAGTATTTGGAACTGACTAAGTCTTAGGTAGATAATCAAAGCCAAGCGGTTGTTGTAGTTGACCTAGTCGTTATGCAATACACCATCATCCTTCCTTTACCGCAATAGTGAAGGCTCCACCATTTAAATATGGATTTAAGGTTTCGTATCACGCTTGAAACGTTGACCTGGTCTGTCATTACCTCTCAAAATATTCTTATGATTCTTCTACAAGACCATAAGTGTACTGAAACTAGTAATGACTTACTCCAAATAGGTGCATATTTCAGTGTCCCAGTAAACACTCAAAACCCCATCCTGTATTGTTTGTACATTTTCTCTCTACACAACACACACACACACACATCTTAGAGTTTCCTCTTGTATGCTCATACCTTCATTGGGTGCAGAGGAATAGAGGAGGATGAAGGCTTATTTGCTGTATACGTAGTATTTTTTTTTCGTTGTGTTTTAGTTGGGCACTGAAGTTACATTTTAGAACGGTTAGAATCAGTCAAGACTTTGTCAGATAGTCTCACTCAACCTTCTATACTTCGAGTTTCTGCTGGGGATCTGATTATAGTATCTTTACCTCAGAAAAATAAAAGTAAACTAAATTATCATTTGACTTCTGCGATGTCATTTTTGTACTTTTGTTTTCTTGTGCGCTTTCTGAAAGCATGGACCTCACGGCACTCATCACACTTCATGAGGCTTGGAGGTCGTTTAAATTATGTCTAGTGTGTAGTTTCATTTATTTCAGTTTGTGTTGTTTTGGAATGTCACTTTTGTGAATTTATCTGTAAATAAGGTTTAGCAATCAAAACAAGTAATACATGAATCCTGAATGTGATATACGGAGTAGAAAATATTGAATTATTTTACTTTTTTTTAAGTGCCTTCCCCCCAAACTCAGTGGTTCACAAAGTAGCAACTCCATATTGTTTGAAATGTAAGAAAGTCCGAAGCCTAAACTGATATTTATATCCATGAAAAACATTTCGACATAACAGAAGAGTTTTAACATAACAGGTCCGGGCCTGGAGTGATATCCCACCTTTCTGATGCTTATGAAAGATTGCTGTTTTATAGGAAAGTGTAGGGTACTTTTTCTGTCTTGAGGATCGAGCTCTGCTCTGCAGGAAGTGTGATGTTGCTGTGCACACCACTAATGCACACGTCTCAGCTCACCAGAGGTTCTTGCTCACTGGGGTGAAAGTTGGACTTGAACCTACTGAACCTGGTCCATCTCTATCCTCAGGGAAGTCACAGTCAGCAGGGGAGAAAATCTCAGATCAGGAGCTTCGATCTGTTTCTAGAAGAAACACCCCTATTGCATCTCATAATAAAGTATTACCCATGCAAACAACTGGGTTCGAAAATTTCGGACCTCCTAAGCCACCATCTGCTGGTGGTTCTACAGCTGGAAGTATTCCACAGTGGCAGCTTGATGAATTTCTTGGATTAAATGAGTTTGGTCAGAATTATGGTTTTATGGACAGTAGTACCTCATCTAAGGTATGATGTTTGGTAGTAAAAGGTAGAAAAAGAAAAAAAGTACGCTAATACGAGTACTTATGTATTCATATCACTAACCCTGCCAAATTAGGAAAGTGTAGCAAATCATAAAAAACTTTTCAAGAAGTAATACATAGCAAATAATAAAAAATGGAGGAAGTCTTATGTAGTTAAAATTCTTCATTTGATAGTTAATAAGCAATGAGTTTGATGATTAACATGTTTTCAATGTCTCCTATCAGGCGGACAATGGAAAGTTTGGAGACCCTGACAGCTCTCCCCCTACTACTAGTTTCATGATCAATGAGGAAGAGCTGGACGATGGTGATGAGTGCTTGGGTCAGTTCATGGAGGCGTCTTGGGCAGTTCCACAAATTCCTTCCCCTCCCACAGCCTCAGGACTACATTGGCCTAAAACTAACCAAAACCCCTTTGACTCTGCGGCCTTTGTTCCTGACATATGTTACTCTTCTCCCTTTCAGAATTTTGAAAACCAACAGCCGAATTGTAGTAGAATGAAAAGGAGACGACACTGCTAAGAAAATTCATTCCCCAACTACTATACACTCCTCATTCATGAATAGCGAATTTGGTCTTTCTTAATCTCTTATATTAAGCACTTGTGTTTTTTATGGTATCAATTATTTTTGCAGAGCATGCGTATTCCTATAGTTTTGCATTTCTCTTGCAAGAATCCTCCTATTTTATAAATCACAATGGCACATGATGCCATTGACTCTGATTTCTTCAACTTCCATGAGAAAGAATGGTTTATACATGGTGTTGGAAAATAGGATTTTGTTGTGTGCAAACATGGGCTTAGAAGCTAGGTGGCTTATGGTCAGGTCTAGTATTGACTAGGTTCATATCAATTGGTATTAGAGCCTCCACATCTCCCTGTCTCAACACACAAAGTGATGGCATATGGAGTGGTGACTTAGGCCCTGGGGTGTCTACCGTGACCAACATAGCTGTGACCAATGACGACATTAGCTCTTCGAGGCGTTAGTTATTGTAATGATCCCACACCGATCAAGTATGGGCTTGATAGGTGACTTGTAAACTAGATGTTCCTTCTTCCTAATTGGCTAGTCTTTTGGGAGTGAGTTATATACACTTGAGTTTATGATCTTAGTATGGGTCTAGTATGGGCTAGGTTCTTATTTGATATGTTTCTGGAAAATGACATTGGGTCACTAAAATGCAACATTAAATGAAATAGTCAAGGGTTTTGTACTTGAATCGTGAAAACCTAGAAACTAAGCTTGTGAACCATTTCCAACTCGTCAAATTTTTTCTAATAAATTGATGAATTCAATGAAAACGAAAAGTCAAAACATTAAATCTAATAAATTTCATAAAAGAAAGATAACAATGTTTTCCAAAGATTAATGTACATATTGAAATTACAGTCCAAGTAAAAATAACCTAAATATTACTAATTTCAAATAACACTATATATGCTATTCAATTAACCTGATCATCACCATCTAGATTAAAGATTGCATCTACCAGTAGAGCTCTACTCAATTAAATATTTACAAACACCTTCGTAAATAGCTAATTATAAGACACTTAAACTAAATATTACTAATTTCAAATAGCACTATTCCTTCTCTAAATTAAATAAGGAGTATGGTAAATTGATAGTTTTGATTATTAATATCATTGCTAGGTTAGAGTTAACTCGATCATGTTCATATTTTATGAATTTAAAACTAATTGCTAGGTTAGAGTTAACTTTATCATGTTCATATTTTATGAATTAAAACCGATTCTTCCGGTTTAAAATTGCGACTCCTGAAGAATAAATATTTTATGCAATCAACACATTAAAAGTGTACTTGAGAAATGTTTGAATGATGTTGCATTGATGTATTTTTAACATCAACATCCAAAATTCGTTCAAAAAAAAACATCAATAATATCCAAATTCACCCTTTAATTGCTAATCATTGAACGTAGTCTAATTTACTACAAAAAGTCGAATCTCACACATACTTTCCAACAGTTTCCATTTCTTACAAATTTTGACAATTTGTTAGAAACTTAGAAATCCTACATGTTTTTCATCATACTTTCCTCGAAAAAGAAAAAGTTCCGAGTTCATATGAAATCTATAGAATATTCAAAAATGGACTTTTCCCAGCTCCATCCTTGAAATTTCAATGCGTACAACATACAGCCATGCACTACCAAGGTTTCAACTTTCAACACAACTGCATAATCTTGGTGAGGAGATGGCCAGATGGGGGATGGATTTAAGGGGGGCGCGGGGGCGACCGCCCCCCTTGGACTTTCAAATTTTTCTATAATACATTTAATATTTTCATAAATTTTTTATACTTTAATTAGATATATATGTGTTCGCCCCCCTTAACTTTTAGTTTTCAAAATTAATATATAACCTTACATTATGTAATACTTAATTGGAGATTTAAAAGATGAAACATCTAAAATAATTTACATAACTTGAGCAAATAAACAATAGAACAATTCATTGTTCAAGACTTAGGATACCTATTATATAAAAATTCATAGTTTTAAAATGTTTAATTATCTTTAATTTATTTGATAATTATTACTCGATTTGTAAGATATCAAACAATAGTATATACAAGACACACTAGTTAAACAGTTTTTCGATCATTTGAAATGAATCTAAAATCACACAATTCGTTTACTTCTTACTCTTTAAAAATAATTAATTTATTACATAGATAATACATTTTGACTTATTTTACCACAACAACAACAACATCCAAGCCTTAATCCCAAAAGAATTTGGGGTCGGCTAACATGATTCGGTCTATGATATCGATGCCAAACAGAGAAGATAAACAAGAAAGGGAAGAAAAAGAAGTAAGATAAAATGAATAAAATAAAGATAAATAAATATAAGATAACAATAACACAAGAATATAAGAATGATAAAAGATAAAAAATAAATAATAGAGCATAAAAAGCTAGAAGATAAAAATAACATAAGAATATAAAAAGATAAAGAAGATAAACGATAAAAGAAAAAAGAAAGGAAAGATAGAAAAGACATCAATCTAAGAATCAATGATATAATATTATTCTAAAAATAATAATCTGATACTACGTACATATTATACTTTTGTAATATTAGCAAAACTTGCAATTCAAAATTTGCAATTCAATAATATTATTCTAAAAATAATAATCTCATACTACGTACATCATATCATCATGACTCACGAACGTCCTTCTTGGTAAACAAAATTTGTAATTCAAAAATCAATTCCTTTTACCGATAAGATTCATGTTGTTAAACATGACATGCGTTATTTAAAAAGCATTGGTGGTTGTGCACCTTTTAAACTTCGTTTTCACACATATTAAGGAAAAAAATATATTGGGAGATAAATTTTACTGTATGGACACTGTTTCGACACTGTTTGACACTGTTTGGTACTGTTTGGCACTGTTTGAATGTAGAGAATTTGCCAAATAAGGAACTCGGAAGAAGTGTGAAGTTAATTTCGGAACTGCCCGAAAAGGAAAGTGAGAAGTTGTTTTCGGGACAGAAGGAGTATTTAAATATCATCATGTATGTACTTATGAATTCTTTTTTTAATAAAAATTAGCCGCAAAACCTTTCTAAACTAGCGAAAAAAAATTCGCCCCACTACACTAGCGAAAAAAAAATCACCCTACTACACTAGCGAAAAAAATTTCACCCACTGCACTAACGAAAAAAATTCGCCCCCTTGACTCGAAATTCTAGATCCGTCCTGCAGATGGATGTTATTAGCATTTAGCAATTTAAGTTTTAACACGAGGAGTTCTCTGAATTACAAGGTAATTGTTTTGAAAAAATGATAAAAATATTACCTCAACACTTTTGGAATTGAAGAACAAAATATTGGGAGGAAAGTAAGAAAACTATTACCTCTACACTTTTGGAATACAACGATATGATTAGTTTTTATTTGTCCAAAAATTTGACTAATGTTTCTTTAATGAATATACACTTCTTTTAATTCTAATTCTTTCCCAAGTACCCACCCCATGTCCACGACTGCCTCCATTAACAATTGTCAGTGGCTGCCGCTGAAAACTGCCGCTGCTAGCCGCCGGGAAACTCATCATATATTTTTTGTTGGGGATTTATTTCCAGACTTTATTTATTTGCGACAGAAAAAGTCAATGAAAAAATTCGGCGATCACAATGACATGTTTCACAACCACAGTGTCACTACCAACGACAAGAGTGATATTGATAGCGACAACAATGACACTTAAAGCTGCTCATGGGACGAGTTTGCTAAATTTTTAGGCCTACCGTATCCAATTTATTCAGATTGGCTGGCTACTAACCAACCCACAATATACAATATAATTTTATAAATCTTAGGAAATACGGAGTAGTATCAAAAACATCCTTGTGTATAAAAAGTGCATTTAGACACAAGTGTAAATATATAATAATCACCTAGTCAAAATAATAAATATTTACAATTTCTATATCATAAAGCCTTAGATAGAGAATATCGGTCTTAAATAGAAATTATCCAACAAAGTATTGTAGCATAATAATAGCGAAATGAACTTTCGACCGGGTTGATTACTATCAGGTGACGTTCATACATATTTGAAAATTGACATTGCTAGTGACATATGAAACTGATAGTGACATTATAGCATTCCAATTTTATTATTCTTTACTCACCTTTTGTTCATGTGTAAAAGTAACCACTTTTTGAAAATTAACTTCACTATAGTAATTTAAGAAAAAGCCGTGATTGTTCACTTAAATACAAAATATGTTAATTACTCTCAAAAAAGGAGTACATTTATATTATAACACCAATGACTATCCAGGAACAATAATAATGTCATTATGTTGTCAACGTGTTATTCTCAAAGTTACGTTGCAAGGTCAAGTAATATTACCATCTTCAAGTCATAATGGCATCTTCAACACAAATTGACATCATCAAACAATATTGTCATCTTGATCAACATTGTAATAGGGGTGGGCATGGTAGAAAAATGTCATCTTGACTAGCAAGAGAAATATATACTCACAAATTAAAAAACAAAACAAGATGATGATGAAGAATGTGAAGAAAAAGAAGCATAAGGGAGAGAAGAAATCTCTTTCACACTAATACGAGAGAGAAGAATAAGGGAATGAAGGGGGTTATCTTTTGATATGGAGAGGGAGCTAGTGGCATAGTTAGAGGAGGAAATCGAGGCAGACCGGATGGAAAAATTCGTCCATATAAGTTTTAACAATTTTTCGCACAAAAATTATCAAAATTGGAGTGGGTGAGGGCACAAGGTGCCCCTGGCTATGTTCATGGAGGGAGCTAGATGAAGAGGGTGGGGTAGAAGTTTCAAATGGGAAGAACATAGAGATGAGTCTTTTTTCGTGGTCGCCATCTCTATTTTTTTTTATCAACATCACTCTCTCACCTCTACCGAGCTACATTACTATCCTTAGCGGGTGTCGAGGACCGGCTATGGGACCGGTTGGCCAAGCATTTGCCTTGGGCCTTACATTTCAAAAGGGCCTAAAAAATATAAAAGATACTAATAATATTAATTAAAATTGCCTTAAATAGGAGAAGAAATGTTTTGGAAATAAAAAACATAATTGTCATCTTTTTCGTATTTTTTTAAATAAAGAAAAATTTTAGAACAATGTTTTTACGTGAATTAGTTTTGATCCCACACCAGACCAGATGACAACACAACATAATAAATAAATCAGACTTAAACAAGTCAGACTAGACTTAAATAGATCATACTAGACGAGACTTTAACCATTATAAAATACACATAGACCAGATATCTATCAGAACAGAACATATCAGAAAATTTCAATCCAATTAAAAACAGGCTAATTGAAAAAATTACTTTGAATTTATAGACTGGGTTTTGTCCAACCCAAATTGCACTTGGATATGGTTTGGTTAAGTTGGACTTGATGCGATTTGATTCAATCATGCAAATCGAACCACCCAGGGGCGGACCCAGGAAAGTCATTTTGGGGGGGCGAAAATATTTTTTGGGGGGGTTCAAAATACTTTTTGGAAGAGCAAAAAATATTTTTCGTATATATATACACTAAAAAAAAATTGTTGGGGGGCGGTAGCGCCCCTGGGTCTCTACTACGGTCCGCCCCTGGAACCACCCTAACACTATCATGATTCATGAGTTTCTTTTCTTTGCCCGTGGCTTCTTAAACCCGTCATTAAACCCTATCACTATTGGGTCGTCCCTTTATAGGTAAGGTGATGCTTTTAAGATCTCTAGCTTCTAGGTCACATTTAATTACCCAAGACAATAAAATATCTTTTTACTGCATGGGGCCTCTAAGTATCGAGGACAGAGTCCCACTCTCTATCTATCAGATTGAGATTATAGTCTAATTTACATCCTCCTAACATACCGTCCGATCGGGGTTGAGGGTCCCTCAGGGATGTGGTGTCATCCCTCTTTTTACTTCGTAGTATTTAAAAAATGAGTAAGTGTCCTCCTTTCAAACAATTACTCCCTCCGATCCTAAATAAACTTCACACTTTGACTTCACAAAAATTTAGGAAATAAATTTGACTTTACTGTAAAGTAACTGTTGTGGCACTGTTTAGCGTTGTTTGACACTGTTTTGCACTGTTGTGATGTAGATAATTTGCCAAATAAGGAAGGGAGAAGAAGTATGAAGTTTATTTTGAGCCTACCCAAAATGGGAAATGTGAAGTTTATTTAGGACCGAAGGAAGTAATATATTATCCATGCTTGGAAGTTTCTCAAAGAATAATACGTCCGTGAGCTTTTGTATTGATTGTGGATTGGTACTCGAGAGAAAAGGATTGATTTAAAACTAGTAATGATATAATCTCTAAATTGACAAGCAAAATCAACCAAACATCCCATAAGAGATGAATAAACTAATTAATGTTCAAGTAGAAAACATGAAGTACGGAAAGAAGAATTGGAGCTGGCGTATCTATGTACAGCTAAATAATTACAAATAGACCTTTTCTGTGTACACACCTTTTACACACGTGTATAAACGTCCACCTACCTGCACGGGTAGCTCAGTTGGTCGAGTGGTCGAAAATTTGGATCAATGGACTAAAGTTCGAATCCCCGCAGTGACCGGGTGGAGGTCACATAACTTGAAATAAGGTTGGGCCTCTGGTGCGCACGGGTGTATGGGCCTACTGTCATTCTTCTGACTGAGTCACCGTCACCGTGACTAACCTCTCCACCATCGGGATGAGGGGGCTCCTGTGGTGTGAGATTCCACCTTTTGATCAATCAACTATAAACGTCCACCTTGATTGTCCGTGAACAAAGCCTATTCGTTTAAAAAAATCACAGAAACTATACATAAATGTGTGTGTGGCCTGTAAAATAAGCGTGTACACGCCTCCCGCGCATACATGAAGGACTCTTACAAATAATAAGTTGTACTCCGTACTAATTTACTTCGGCCGCTATAACATGGTGGATCAAGCTGCCCCTTTGTCCTTTGAGAACAAAAAGCCAACTGAGGGAACTCGGATTCTCATGGTTTCCAATATATGAGATGCAGATGGCCTTAGGGTTGGACAATCCACAAGGCACATAGCTGCAATGGAAGCCACTGCCTCAACTTCTACTCCCAAATTATTATTCCCTACATCCAGCCTCGGATCCACCATTGCTGTGACCTTGGACTCATCCTTTAGCATCTGCCTTGCTTTGCAGACCAGTCTTTCATTGCAATCAGATGAAGAAATGGCTTCCAAACCCGTAATCAGCTCCAGAAGGATGACCCCGAAGCTGTATATGTCGCTCTTTTTGGTTGCGATCCCGGTTCTCAAGTAGTGCGGGTCTGTGTATCCCGGAGAACCCATCATCATCATGCGTGTAGCGAGCCTTCCTGAAAATCCAAACCCGGATGTGTTAATTCAAATATACAAACATTTTTTGATCATATGGACCAAAAAAATTCGTCAAAACTTATTTATTTCCTTCCATTAGATTGACCTTTTACACGAAATAATGAATCTGGATATAGATTCTATTAAAACTATGAATCTTAAATCGATCATAGGGGGTGTTTGGATCTGATTCTTAAAAATGCTGTCGCTCCTTCAGGGAGCACAAGCAGAAGTTGGAGTGTTTGGGTGAAAGTGCAGAGGTGATTCTGATGCTCTAATTTACTCCTAGAATCAGTTCTTTAAAAAGGAACCAAAATCGGTTCCAAACACCCCTGTGTAACCACCGATGAGATTTCTATAAGACATAAAAGTTAGTAACAAGCCCATAAATTTCAACCTATAAATCTTAAGTCTTTTTATCGTCAGATTAACCTTTTAGAAAAAACTCTTAGTAGTATATTACTAGAAAAAATTTCACTTTTGATCCCGTGACTATTATACTACTTCCACATTTAGTCCCTTACTTTCAGATTGTCCACATTTAGTCTGTGACCATTATCCCCTCACCACCCTTGTCCTTCCGGCCAAAATTCCGGCAAATTTAATGCAGATTTTAGATATGAAAAAACAAATTTAATGCAAAGATTGATATAAAAAACCCAATCTTATATAAAATTTAATGCAAAGACTGATTCTGAGGTTGATAAGTGGATTAAATTTGATGGAATTTTGGCCAGAAAGACGAGGGGTGGTGAGGGGATAATGGTCACGGACTAAATGTGGATAATCTGAAAGTAAGAGACTAAATGTGGAAGTGGTATAATAGCCAAAAGTGAAATTTTTTCTTTTACCGAGTATTCTTTTTCAGCCTTATCAAAACAAGGAGTTCATTGGAGCTGAATAATTGTGTTGTTCATTTTTAAAAGTCTAACTCATTAATAAGCTGAGACGTTGACCTTATACCTCGATTTTAATTGGTGTGAAATAATTTAACATTTCTATAGAAATAAATTTAGGTGGAGATATTTCATTTACCACATTTTGGACGAGTCGCCGCACTTATATCCCTCCCTCTAGCCCCGCCGTCGATCATCTCCGGTCCAGATAACGGCGGCTGAACAGATGAAGAAAATCCCATTTTCGCAGACCCGAAATCGCACAACTTGCAATTAAACTGAGAATCCAACAACACATTCGAGGATTTAATGTCACCATGAACAATCTGGGGATCACACTTCTCATGGAGATACTCCAGAGCTTGAGCGAGCTGATAAGCGATTCCCATCCTCTGCTTCCATGAAAGAACAGAGTCCCATTTTCCATGGATATTCTCATGGAGGGTTCCATTCGCAGCGTACTGGAAAACTAGAACCCCTTCTTCACCCTCATCGCAGTAGCCAAGGACTCTCACTATACTCTCGTGGCGTACCCTCTGCAAGATTTGGAGTTCCTGCCGGAAAACGGCGCTCAGGCGATGGCTGCTGCCGGAGTCGATGACCTTGACGGCTGCCACGCCGGAATTTGGGAACTTCCCGAGGTAGACTGTGCTGAACCCTCCGAAGGCAATCACTCGAGACCTCGAAAAGCTCATCGTAAGCTTCGAAATCTGTTGCTTTGTCATTCTAGCCGGACCGGGCTCCTTCTTGAACCCGGATTCCCCGACCCGGACCGGCTTTCTCCTCAGTTTCAACCTCAAGCATAGAAAAGAAGCCATGGGATTGGAACAATGGGAACAGAGGAAAAGAAAAGGAAGAAAAGAGAATCGCCGAATGGAAACAGGAGAAGCAAGAATATATTGTGTGGAAAAAAGTGGAGAGGAGGGAAAGAGACAAACGAACAACACAGAAAGCGTCACAGAGAGACAAAGAAGACTGTTCCTTTCATACGCACCTCGTGTGGATTTGACATTTTACTCCATTTTTCAAATCCTCTACTTTGACCGATTTACATAAAATAAATTGAAAAAGGGTACACCTCATTTGGGCTAAATGAACTTCTTTCCAAAAAGATGACATCCCATATCGATCGGACAGTTAGATGGAATGATCTAAATCGGATTTTAATCATAAACTGAAAAATAGAGAATGAGATTCTGGCTTTGATACTTACAGAGGTTCTATGCTTATTTAGCAGAGAAAATTATCGGGAATAAGACTCTTTTATATAACTTTGACTTAAATAGGACCTAATTAAGTTTTTTACTTCCGTAGATCTGAATTTATCCTGTTTTAGGAAACTTAAATATAACTTACCTAAAATACCCCTGCATTACTCCTAATATATTTCCCCTTTCATTTCTTCTGTGCTAACGACTTAACAGCCTATTGTGTCGTCCATGGTAGGAATCCTTCGCTCGATCTTCTTCAAGTTTGGCTCAGGACTTTCGTTTTCTACTTTCCCTCAATAATTCGAACTCAATCTCCAACAATTCTGACTCAGAATCTTCATTCGGATTGGAGTTAGCTGCAAACTTCTGACTGAGCTTGATCACAATTTGTGGAGTGTTTCTTCTGCGAATTTGTGTTGTAAGTTTGCTTGTTGTACTTTCTGATTACGATTTTGTGTTCGGTGTCTTCGAATTTTACTTGTCTATGATCACAATTGATGTACTTTTGATTTTCATTCTTACGCAGAAGACATATTCAAAAATAATGTCTTATTAATGTGTGTTTAATGACTATCTCGCTTATTTATATACACTGTCTATATCAAATTACACTTAACATTCCACTTCTTCCTACTAGTACTTTAACTATGTTTCATCATGTGTCACTAAAATCTTGAACTTAATATGGATCTCTAACAATTGGTGTCCCACATGTTTTAGCTATCCACCTTCATGACTAGTTTAATATGGATTTGTAACCTATACGAACTTCTCTACATCACAAATGTTCATTACAAATTTATTTTTCATTTTTCCATTCTGTTTTATGAATATTTAATGAAAAAGATATAAGCAATAAGTATTGTTGTCAAAAAAGGACATTGCATATAGTCATGTTTTGAAAGAACATTAAGAATAACACTAAAACAAGACTACACTTTTTACCTTTAACAACTTTATATTTATATCATATGATGTATATTATTCTATGCTTCATAAATATATTTAAGCGATTTTCCAGCAATTGAATCTGATGGAATATATGGCCCGGGAACTCCCGGCCCACAGACTCCTACTACCCCAATAAAGGCCCGATAGGCCCAGGAAACACAACAGGCCCAAATCACGGCGCCCAAGATACCAAGCAGCCCACAAATGCGCACCAGAGGTGCCTTCGGCCCTTGGCCGAAGGCTCTAACTCTCACAGGAGGGCCAAGACAGCAAAACAAAGTTACTGGGAAAAACGGCGAAAATCAGTAGCCCTCGGCACCTGGAGCCCTCGGCACCAAGGGGGTCCCCGGTACTCAGAGCCCTCGGCTAGTCCTCTACAGTCGAGGGTACCTTTCCCGACATGATATCCACGCCACATGCGTACAGGTCACCGTACCCTGTACAACGTCTCATCCAACAGCCACATTAAATGCGGCCACATGCGGTTGCCAGCGCCAACTAGTTGAGATGACCTCTCGGCCAATAGACGCTTGACACGTGTCCCTGTCTGGCATTTATTGCTACTATAAATAGCACCCCATTTCCCCATTTGTAACCAAGTCACAGGTCATAATACACACGCTGCATACTTTCTAATATACTTTCTCTCTCTACTTATTTGCTCTGACTTCTCTCTTGTTATTCCCCGTAATAACCCCTCGGATAAGCTACCCCCCGGGTACACTATCCATCAGAATCTATTAAATTTCAAATTTGTGTTATACTTTTTTTTAAGTTTTATACTTACTTTAGTTGTAGGAGTTTAATGTGGAGGAATTTAATGTCTGTGCATATGCCATTAAGGACTAATTATTGTCTACTCATGCACTTCAATTTTCGGTTGCTATTGAATCTCTAAATTCATGCTTCCAAGTTCCGGTCTGTAATACCACAAAGATAGAGGAGCGTTCTGTTTCAGAAACTCATGGACTTTGCTAATTGATACAATGGAATTATAATCTTCGATCACAAATCCTAATGTCAACTCAAACCTTTCACGGAAGAAGCGGAGGAAAACCGGCGATTCAGATCGGGATCAGACGCCGCCTACATGTGTGGATGGACTCAGGTCATAGAGTGAGGCTGCCCAACAGATCTACTTGACGAAGCTTGTGGATGTTCTCTGTCAAGTCCATTGAAGAAATGAGACTACATCTACCGTGGTTGACAATTATACTCTTCGGGAGACTTCTTATGGACTGTCGCCGCCGCCAAGGGAAAGACTAGATGGAGCGATTGATTTGGAAGCTCGTAGGATTTGGAACCTTGTTGATGCTCTCCGCCAAGTCCGCTCCGAAGAAGAGTCATCGCTGCAATTTCTTCCTGGGTTGAGCAATTGATTATAAAGTAAGGGTATAATAGTCAAAATATTTGCAGTTGTGTCCTACGCCAAAATGCAGTCCTAATTTTGGAAAATTGAAATGTTTTAGTCTTATTTGTATAATTCTCCCTATTTATCATAGTAATCTCTCATCACAAAATGGACTTCATTCCAAAAAGGACCTTCACATTTAGAAATAATGATGAACATTTGAAAAATAAGGTTAATGAACAAAAATATGAGTCAATGACTGCAATTGTAAATTTAGTGATCATAATTGTGTTCAACTCTATCATTGTAATGATATATTTTGTACATGATAACTCCACTAATGTTTTAATCCATTAATTATATTTCAATTATATTTAAGGAAACCTCAACGTTTATGGAAAAAGTTGTGACTAAAGGTCGAAAACGGCTATAAACAAATTCAAATATGATCATAATAGAAAAAAGTTATTACGTCGAATTTTCGCCCATTATCCTTATTTTGATCATATATTAGACTAAATTTGCCGAAGAGTTTGTTAGCAGTCAAATTCAACCTTCAATTTTAATTACAATGTGAATGATAAAAGATATTTTTAATTGAATTTAAATTTGCTAGTCTTGTCTGGTCTGATCAAGTTCGATCTATTTAAATCTGGTCTAGTCTGATCTATGTACGTGTATTTTATAACTATAGAAGTCTAGTCGAGTTTGAGTTGACATGTTTAAGTCTAGGCCGTGTTGATCTAATCTGTTTAAATTTGATCTGGTTTGATATTGAAAATAGTCCAAGTAAAAATATTTTTGCTCTTATTTCAGGAATTTTATTTAGTAAAAACAACCGAGGTGTTAGACTTATACTTCCTCCGTTCTTGTACCAAGTAAAAGCAACATTCCATTGTTCACTTTTGCAAACGCACAACCAGGGTCGACCCTGACATATAAAAGGCCTTGTTCAATATTGAATTTGAAGCGGCCTTTGAAGTATAAAACACGATATCAATACTCTCTCTGTTCTTAAATAAAAGCCTCCATAGGTTTTTTGTGATTTTTAAGAAGAAAATAGTAAGGGTAGTATAGAGGTGTATGGTATATGAAAAAGTAAGAAAGGGAATATATTAAAAAGAGTAAGGTAATGATGAAGTATTAGAAATAGAAAGTAGTATGCAAGCTCGTCCCAACCCGCCATCACCTGTACGAGAGCTTTGTGCTAATGATTATAAGTAGGCCTTATGTATTAAAGAAATTGCACAATTGTAATTAACAATTGCATTTTAATTACATGTAAATATTACTATCATGATTTTATTTTAAAACAACTAAAATATGAATCTTTAATCAAATAAAAAATGATTTTGTATATTATGTAGACTATTTAAAAAAATTGGGACTCCTGGATCGAGAGGCCTTGTGCAGTAGCACTTCTTGCACGCCCTAATCTACGACCCTGCACATAACTTAGACCGTCATTATATTTAATTCTCTATTAGTAAAAAAATTTAAAAATTAGATTATGAAACTTTGTAACAAGACGAATTCAACAATATTTTTCAAAAAAAATCAAACACATTGATAAACAAAATGTAATGAAAATAGAGTACGTGAATAAAATCTAAATTTTAATCTTTCCATTAATAAGATAAGCAAGGCAATACTTACTGATAGGGCTGGGTTCGGTTCGGTTCCCGAACCGAAATAGGAAATATCCGAACCGAACCGATCTTTCGATTTCTTATATTTTATAAATTGAAACCGAACTAAACTTTGTTGGGACCCAAATTTTCGGAAATCGAATTTTTGGTCCAGATTTTATGAAAAAACTCAACATTCAAAATTTATATATGCAATAGCTTAATACTCATCCTAAAACTTTCCTAGCTCCATGCTCCATAGCAGCTACGAAGGGGTGATTATATTGGCTCGTATGAGGAGTAACTCCCCTCTTCCATACGGTGTGGGACGAATTACATGCGAAAGAAACACTGAATGGAAAGTTTGGGGCGGAAGAAAAGCATAAATCTCAACGAAATCCATCCTTGAGGAGATTCGAACTTGGGTGGGCAGAAGGGGCGTCTTACCAGTTGCCGCTGAGCTACTCCGTTGTTACATATGGATGCCAAATCAATTACATACTTTATAGTTATACAAATTAAATAAAATAATTAAAAGAGAAAATGGTCAAATAAGGCCTTCTACTATTATGAAATAGTTACATAAGACCATGTACTCAATAGAGTGTCATATAAGTAGCTCTACTTGTAAAAAACAATCAAATGAGTCCTAATGACCTATTTAACACCTCTTAATCCCGGTTTCAACGCACTTCTGACCATCTTTTTAGAATACATTATACGACATATGTCGAATATTTAACTAAGATTGG